TCCTGTAACAGTGTCACCTGGGTACGTTCCAAGCCTTTGCTACTTGTAAAGGAATGGAATTTTAGCATTTTGCAGGTTCTTAGGAGCAGTAAACAAAGTGATAAGTGTATTTTAGTTGAAACTGTCCAGAATGTAGAATAATGGCATCAGGGTTTTTTTTTTTTTTTCAGATTTTAACACTCAAAACAAGGATATGTTTTAGAGTGAGTGTAATCGCTCTTCTTTCTCCCCTCCCTCCTCCTCTTCCTCTTCCTCCCCTTCCTCCTCTCCCTCCTCCTCTTTTTCTTATGGTGCTGAGAATCAAGCTCAGGACCTAGACTTGCTGAGCACTGCTGTACCACAAACGTTACCCTCATGAGCCCCATGCAGTAAGCATTCTATCTTTTAACTTTTTGTCTATTTTTATATGTGTGGATGTTTTTCTTGCATGTATGTCTGTGGACCACATGCATACAGTGCTCACAGAGTCCATCCAGAAGAGGGCATCCCCTAGGACTAGAATTACAGATGCTTGTGAGACATTGTGTGGGCACTGGGAATCAAACCTGTGCCCTCTGGAAGACTATCCAGGAAACTTAATCTCTGAGCCATCTCTCCAGCCCTGGTTATCATTTTATTGTCATTTAATTAGTAAATATGGTTTCAGATCAACAGTATTTAATGGCCTGTCTTATAGTAGGTAAGACTGATTTCAGTCTTAAGAAATCCTAGCAAGGGGTGAAATCAGGGTAGCTGCATCCATCCATTCTGGTCCTAAGCAACATAGTGGCATTGCTAGTTTACAGAGCTAATCCTGCCTCTCTCTCTCTGTCTCTCTCTCTCTCTGTCTCTGTCTCTCTCTCTCTCTTTCTCTCTCTCTCGCCCTCCCCCCACCCCCGTGTCAATTTCCCCACCTGCTGTCTTCATTGGTGTGCTCTGCGCAGGACTCTGTTGACTTTCATAAACTGTTTCACTTCAGCTGATGTAAAGGATTTGTGAGGTCAACCCAGGCAGCATTTACTTGTTCACTGAACTACTACTACACTTGGGCCACTGGAGATGATCTTCGGTGCCATCCAGTCTCTGGAAATAAAGAGAGAAGGTGCAGTCTTTATTTTCTCTATTGAAGTATTATCCCAAACCAAAAGAACTGCTTTCTTGCAGAGAGCAGAATTGACCCACAGTTGCACCGCCTAAGCGTTAGTGGTTGGCATTTTCCTCTGAGAGAGAAAAGAAATGCTTTATTGATCTGTAAGGAAGGAGTGGGCCGTGGTTGTGCTCTCTGCTTTCTTCAGTGGGCCGATCTAGAACTCAGCATTTCATTAGGAAGAGCAAGTCCTTACATTTGGAAGGCCACCTGTCAGATGGGGTGATCCCTGGGAGAGACATCTCCACAATTTATAGCTGTTCTCCACAGACACTTACCAGGCTCCACATCCCCTGATGGGTGGGTGCCTTGTTATTTAATCTGGGACGTGCTTGTAACACCTAATTTTAGGCTTCCTTCTTTTTATTGTATTGTTCTGTTTTAGGAGAGGGTGGGAGAGACCAATTTGGATCTGAGATAAAGATCTTCCAGGTGAGAGAGGTGTGAGAGAGAGAGAGAGAGAGAGAGAGAGAGAGAGAGAGAGAGAGAGAG